GGTATTATTTCTTCATCTCAGTAAATGCGCTTTCACAAAAAAAAAAATAGTATTTACAGCCTTCGTCTGCGGAGGAATGCTGCAAAAATTAGTCCTGCGGCATCATTCTAGCCGGTTTAAACGCAACCGAGACGATTGCAACGTAAAAGATGAAAAGCAAGGCGTAGACGACAAATCCTTCGTGTTACATAAAAAGGCAGTTAGGCTAACAAAACTAAAAAATATCAAAAATGTAGTTATTACTTATATACCTGACAGCACAGAAATTCCTTGTTCTGTTTTTCCTGTGGATTACCAAATGGCATCGAATATTTGAGGGGGGTGGAGGGGGCGAGGGGTGGGTTAGCTCTTTTGATTCCTACCATTTGGGTGTGTTTGTTTGTTTGTTTTTTTGCCTTTATTGTTGGGTGTTGTTTTTGTGGCTTCTACGACCTGTTGAATGACCCATTTCATTTGGTTGAATGTTATTGGAAAAAATAATCATTGTTTTGCCTATGGCACATAGAACAGTACATATGTATATCTAAACATACAGTATTGGCCAATACAATAGCACCCCCCTTTCAAAGCGATATTGTTTGCCACTTATGTTTAATTATTTGTTTTTAAGAATTTTCAATTAAAATACAGTTCATTCTCTCACAAAACTCACATAAACTCAAGTTTAAAACTTTTTAAAAGACCGCAAAAAAGGGCAACAAATTTTCACCCAAATTTCAAACTTTTTTCTCAGAAGCGGTAGAATTTTTTTGAATACACAGTTTTATAGCCCATTCAATTTTAGTCAAATAATGTGCTAGTTTCAAGTGGCTAAAAATTACCGTTGATTTTTTAGAATTTTTTTCGCCGAGGATGTTGCGGGTTTCTGCCATATAAAAATAAATTGTGTTTAGTCGTTATATGGAAGCAAATGAGACAAAAAAAATTCTAAAAAATCAACGGTAATCTTTAGCGACTTGTGTGTACTCAAAAAAATTCTAGAGCTTCTGAGAAAAAAGTTTGAAATTTAAGGGAAAGTTTGTTGCACTTTTTTGCGGTCTTTTAAAAAGTTTAAAACATTGGTTTATATGGGTTTTGTTAGAGAATGAACTGTATTTTAATTGAAAATTCTTAAAAACAAATAATTAAACATAAGTGGCAAACAATATCGCTTTGAAAGGGGGGTGCTATTGTATTGGCCAATACTGTATGTATGTACGTACATACATAGCCTGTGGAGCCATTATGAAATCATTTCGGTAAAGTGTATTGCGTACAAGCACTTAAGCATATACACATACTGGGGAGAAAGTGGTAAGCAAACAGTCAGTCAGCCAACGTGTCACTCTTATTGATATTTGCGCGAGTGCGTCAAAGATGATCCGCCATAATTCGTTTAAATTTTAGTGGTTGTGCGCCTGGCAGCAGGGATAGAGGGAACGTTGTGCAATGATGGTTGGTATCGGATGTCCAACCTATATACCCTTGAGATGCAATTTAGTGAAAAAGGAATTGGAATCGTATGCAAATATCCATATGTATGTATGTATGTATGTATGTATGTATGTATGTATGTATAGTATAATTAGAATTTCTACGATTGCGTACACTTTACCCATTCTCCCCTCTTTATATAGACGCTATTTTTATATATACATATATATGTATATACATACGTAGTAGCAGAAAAAAAATTGTAACCACATACATACATACATACATATGTACTTATACATTTGTAATTATTCACTTGGCCGACATCGACGCAAACACATACGTATGTATACGTATACGTATTAAACAACAAAAGTAAGGCTAATATTTCAATTAAGCTCCATAGTCGTTTTTTTTACTTTCTCATGACAACAGATTCCAAACAGAAATACCAATAAAGGCTAATAGCTAGAAAATTAAGGACTTCGCCGAATAAATTTTTTTGGTCATACTTTTTTCCATGTTGTACAATTTCAATATTCAAATAAAATTTTTTCTTTTCCAACTGGCGACCTTTCCTTATCGTAATACCTCAACGGTCCATCGGTCCATGGGGAAATAAAATGCCTAAATTTGTATTAATTGTTATTATTGTTATTATTGTTTAATAATGTAGAGTTGTAATTCAAAAATTACGGTTTTGGAGATTTCATCATACAATTAATACGCTTAATAAGGAGAATATGTTCAACCTAGAAGGTTAGGTTAGGTTACACTGGCCGGCTGTTGCGCCTTACATAGACCCGTTGGTCCTTTGTAGTGCCAGATGGAGGTCCGTTTTACTGCGGTCTAAAGTAGTCGTCGTATAGGACGTCAACGCTTTTTGCGAAGTTCAAGAGTGCCTTAATATCCAGTTTTGAAACCTCCTCTAGTCCTTTAAACTGCGAAGCTCCGAGATAACTAAGACGATTTCTAGCTAAGGCCGGACAGAAACAGAGGAGGTGTTCTAACGTCTCACTCATGCCTTCCTCCCTGCACTTCCTGCATGCGTCACTGTTACTAATGCCCATTCTGCTTGCGTGGGATGCCAGTAGGTTCAACCTAGAAGATATGACCAATAAACTTCACAAAGATGGCGAAGATATGTGTCTTTCATCAGTCTGTATGAATTGATCAAACTTTGATTGTGTTTTCCCACAAAATTTAAATATTTATGTAATTTTGTTTATCACTATATTATATTGCCCTAAAATGAATTTCAAACCGCCTTTTAGCCTTAATGGTTCCAATATAAAATTTGGTGGCGATCGGATAAGACTTAGAGGCCAGGCCGCGCACACCCGGGCAGGTATGAAAGTACGTGAAATATAGAAAAAATAGGTTGTTTTATTCCCAATCCCATAAAGCGAAACTTTTCCAATTAGTTAACTATAATGTCTGCTTTCCATTTAAATTTCCTATCTAGAAGTCCAAAATCAGCTCAAAAGTGAGAAAGTTGCAGAAATAATATTAGGCAAACAAATTTATATGATTCGGATATGTTTAATTAAACCGTGCGACAAAAACTGCAAAATTTCAAAATATAAGAAACAATCAATACACTCACGAAGCTATGAACCGCGTTTTTACTTTTCTTCTCTCTGATGTCAGGATTTTTTCAAAAGACTTTAATTCATCAAAAAAATTATTTATTAAAAATCAGTGCAATGTGTTATACATACATATATACATATGATATGGATACCAAATGAAAGAGAACATTCTATAGATTTTGAAAAAAATAAGCTTTTTGTTTCACAATGAGGAATAGCTATTGAAAAAGTCCTTTTAATTAATAAATTTTTTTTTTAGCTAACAAAGTTGCAAGGGTAAAATTCGAGAATGTGCTCGTGTGTTTATTAGTCCTTAACATATTTTTTTTTTTCTAACTTTATTGCAAATATTCAAGGATATTCAAGAATAAAATTTTAAATGGACTTTTTTCCGTCCTTATGCACCAACAAATTTTTGATTCTACCGAATTTTCTAATAGAATTGTACCAAATAAAAAAAAAAATAAAAATTAATTAATCATGTCCTTAAAATTTCAAAGTCCTTTTAAGAAAAATCTTGGCGTCAGAGAGAAAAACTATTAACGTAGTTTCACGATTTTCGGCCTTATTGTAATCGTCGTTACCATTTCCTACATTTACATATTTATGTATTTTTTGATTTTTCTTTTCAGATTCTTTTATTTGTACCATTTTGCATTCTACGCTTATCATTACCGCTTCAGTGGACAAAACCGAAGTTTGGCATTAGTATCCTCTTGGTTATTCATACAGGTAAGTACCGTTACACTTATACATATATTTATGTATGTATATCTATGAATCGCAATGAGCTGATATACATATCGAGCCCTAACCGCCAAAATAACGTAAGCGACATATTTTTCAAAATTTAATTTTTGACGCAGAAATGCATCTTGATGCTCTAGGAATATTTCTGCATCAAAAAGAAAATTTTGAAAAAATGTCGCTTACGTTATTTTGGCGGTTAGTGCTCGATATGTTTGTTGTTAATGATTGATTATATTTGAGCCCGAGATCGGTTTATGAAAAATTTGATCTGCGATTTTTAAATTTTCTCGCAGCCATGAAAAAGTCGCATACGAGTATTTTGTACATACATATGTACATATGTACATTAGACTGCATCACTCGCCATATAAAAAAAAAAAAAAAAATGGTACTGTTTTTCCACTGAAATCATAAAATCTATTATATTTTAAGACTTCCACCAAAATATCAGGGAGAAATATTAAGATTTACATATGTATGTGGTCAAAAAAATTGTTTTTTTTTTTCATGAATAAATAACATTTTATTTTTAATATCATTTATTTTTTAATACGACAGCTCGTTTAAAGCAGTTTTCTTTCGATTCAATATTTTCGATCCAATTTTAAAAGTATCAAAATTTGTACTATGCGAAAAATTTAAGTATCTCGCGGAATGAACGAAAAAACAAAATATCTTCCGAAAATTTGCACAAACATGTAACGCGTAGCATATGGGTGTTTCCATCGGAAGGTCCACCACGACAAACAAAAATAAAAATCTTATATCTAACGTATTTACGGGCCGATTTGTGTCTGCTTTTCAAAATATATACTGGCTATGTAAGTAGAATCGAGTTTGCGTAAAATGGTCTTCCTAGATGGCGCCCAGGTTGAGATATTTCGAAAAATCGTATTTATGGTCCAATTTCGTTCGAATTTGGCGTATGTAGTTGAAACATAATAAGTCATAGATTTCCAACAAATTCACCCTGAATTGGCGCTGAAGTCAAAATAGAAAGCAATATTAACAAAAATATAACGATGGAAATTTATGTCACGTGACGTTTCACACTTGTGGTTGTAAAAGAAAATTGAAACAAGTTGCATTAATTCAAAAAACTCTAAAAACAACTAGAATTGCTCCAAATCATATTAAAATAAGTTTCATGAAAATAGCCGTCCACAATTCGCAGAGTTTTGCGATTTTGTAAGAAAAGAAAAAATCTACTTCCATTTTTTGCCACGTAACGACACTCTCCTTAAATGCTTATATTTCAGGACCATTGTTTTCATTTTTCGGTTAAATATAGAGCTAATTATGTGCTATACAATGGCCCAAAAAAGTGAAAGAAAACAAATTGTATTCCTTTTTTGTATCGCATTGAAACGTACGACTGCGACGTATGCGACGTATGGAAATACCCATATGAGAGCTGAGAATATGAGTGAGAGTGTACGAAAACTGTCAAAAACACTTGTTACATGGGTGAGAATATTCCAGTGCTGAGAACTTATGAGAACTCCACGTTAAGAACGAATAGCGATCAGAGTGTCCAGATATGGCGATTTTTCTTGGATATTCGCGCGTAAAAATTTAGGAAATCGCCATAGGCGATTTTTGGCGATTTTTACCCTTCAAATAAATTTTTTCCAATTTTAAATATGTATATAAAAAACTTAGTTTTCCACGATAATTTTACAGAAGAGGCTAATGAACTGCGTCTTTTAGACTGTCAAAAATGTTTAATCACCCTTATCCAAGAACTTTTGAAACGATTACCTAGTCAATTAAATACATTTAAAAAAGCTCTGATTTTGTCACCCGAAAAGTGTGTGAATCACAAGAGGGCGAGTTTCAGGACCTGCCACTATTCACTATTGACTTTGAAGGAAAGAAAAGCAGTTTAAATCTTTTAACTTTCCCATGGAATAACTTTTCTCAGAACCATTCCATCCGACTCTGAATAATTTTGGATAATTGATTGCGGAGTGAAAACCCTAACAGGCAATAAAATCTTTGGAAATATAAGTAAATTCATATTATTATCCTTGTCGCACTCACCTGCTTTGTTGAGCGCGTATTTTCCGTAACGAATTCAACAAAAACTAAGATTCGAAATAGGATGAGGTTGAAAAGCCTTAATTCAATAGTTCGAATAAATTGTTATATGAAGGCTAATAGTTTCTGCTGCAAAACATTTCCAATATCAAACGGTCTGTTATGAAGGTTGAATAGCTCAATATGTGACAACAACAGAAATGTAAATGATTCAGACACTAGGCGATTTTGAAGAAATTGTGGAAATAGCTCATCTCGTCTTATAGGTTTTTATTTAAGTTTTAGTGCCGACCTCTTAAAAGCGGATTGTGCGATTAATCAATTAATATGAATTATAATAAATTTAATAATTGCGTAGTCCTGTTGAGAAGTGTGTTGAAACAAATATTTTTAAAAAGTATGCGTATTTTTAAAGAAAATTGTCTGTACATCACTATTATATTATTTTTTATTACCCTCAGAAGGTGTTATATTCGTTTTTAGTTTTAAAAACTATATTATAACAAGAACTCATTTTTAAAATAAAAGATTTGATTTAACAATTGCGCTTTTTTTTAAAAACAATCTGGACACCGTGATACCCACTCTCATTACTTGTTAGACGGGGAGAATGAGAGTGAATTCCTATTCATTTTCCTATTTACTCTCATCGTTTACGAGCATCTTTAAGGACCTAGGAATAATTTTTAGTTCGGGATTTACCTTCATTAACCACATTAGCTATACCATTCCTAAAGCTTACTCTAACCTTGCTTTTCTGCGGCGCCACGGTAGAGATTTCAAAGATCCCTACGCCCAAAAAATTCTGTAAACATAACTCTCTAGCTCATTCAAAGCTGGAATACGCCTCTTTAGTCGGGAAACCAATTTACTCAACTCATTGCTCTAGACTTGAAAGAGTGCAACGAAGCTTTATTCGCTTCGCTCTCAAGCCACTCCATTTTAATGATCCCCGTAGCAGTTGCTTTGTTTTTTAATGTTTTAAAATTCTTTCATAATGAAACACTTTTAAGTTCTTTTTGCAAAAGTTTCCTTTTGGTTAAAGTGTCATTTGAATATACTTTAAACAAGAAGTGTTTTTAATAATGCAATGGCAACTGAATTATAACAAAATGTTCATTTAAATGGAAATAACAAAGTTGGTTATGCTGATCTAAGTAAAATTGCATTAGCTGATTGTGTTAAATATGTAATTATACTACGAAAATTACATACTTTTGTTTTCTTACCGTTATACGTCAGTCAAATTTCCATTTTGGTTATTTAACTAAAAAGCCTTTATGGGCACCGTTATCTTTAAAGTGGCTTTATGACCGCGATCAGCAAAATAAAGCATTCTTTAAATTTTAAAATATTCTTTAACTTTATTATGAAATCGGCCCTTAAACTAACAAAATCTTTTTTTTTTAGCCAGGTTAAAAAATGTGAGCGAAAAAAGTCCACTAAGTAATAAAATATTTTTGTTTGTGGTTTGTTACCCGTCAGGAAGTGTACGGCAAGAAAATTTAAAGAAATTGGCGAAATTGCAGAAAAATAGCGAAAAATATATGGGGGAAATATTCCAATTTCTATATTTCGTCTCTTTAAGTGTTTAAGCTTTTTTATGATACCTTGCACCTTGCCGCTTTGTGATCAAATATTTTGTGTATGCAAAAAGGTGTTTGCATCAAATTTCGCATTGCACAGTTATGTATCTAGTATTCCCGTAAATTTTATGCTAAAATTAATTTGGCATCAGCATTTGGCTAGAACAGTGTGCCACCGTAACTGTGTCGGTCACGTGCATTCCTCTAGGTATGTACTATCTATATAACATACATACATAAGTACATACACATACATACATGTATACACGCGTATGTAAGTACTCTTGTATCCACATTGGTTATTAGTTGGTTGGTTGATGTCATTGTGGATAACGGTGCAGGTGCGCTGGCGCTCGCTCACGTGGCTGGCTATCGATTTTATTCGGAGCCTGCACGTTGTTAAAGACCAATTGCAATAAAGTTGGCTATTGCAAATAAAAAATGTCTGCTCTGTTGAAGCGCAAGTTTTTATTGCCAAAGGCGTTGCAACACTCGCAAACAAAATCCAAAATTCAAAAATTCAAAAATTATGTAGTCATTAATGACCATACTCGTGGCATCAAATGCACTAACTAACTACTACAATCAAATTTAAACGGCCTTCCTTCGTTTTGTATCATGCTTCGAGGTGAAATCCTCTTTGGCCCTGTAGTGCATCGAGAAACCGAATGCCCTTGCTGCGAACAATAGATACCATCCATCTAAGATGGGTACCACCAGGGCATACGGGAGTCGAAGGAAATGAAGAAGCTGATCAGCTAGCCAGACTGTCGTCTGCTGTGTCGACACCGATAGGACTGGAGCCCCTCCTTGCAGTGGGTCCCAGTACACGATAGAGAAGGCGCCCAGAAAGGAAAATAGTAATCGAATAAATAGTAATCCCGGAACGACTTATCGGCTATTTCGGATGAAATAAAATAAAAATAAAAATGCATTTGAGTTAGCCTATTAAATCTGTCGTGGACTGCAAATTATATCAATCGGCAAAATGAGATCAAATTGTAAACTGACTGCAATTTTGCACCTACAATCTACTTGCAACTGAAAGGATCCATGATTTTGACCCATATGTACATTAGGGTGGTCCAAAATGCATGTGAATTCGGAATTTTGATGCTCTCACCCCCTAGAATTGTTCTATACCAAAAAGAATAATTAAAAGTTAAAAAAAAAATTGTCAAGAAAGCTACCAACTCATAACTCGTGGTGTCCTTGAACCAGATTCAACTGAATCGGTCTGGAACGATCTAATTTCCGATGAGACTATTTTAGAGGGGTGTTCCATTGTTAGAATCCGTGAAGTTTAAAATCATGGCAATTGCCGATTTCACAAAAAACGTATATTTTTCGATTTTCTGGTAGGTTTTCGATAATGTTCTCGACAACAATCAGATGTTCAGCACAAAACTGTAAACAAACAAACTAATGCGACAACAATTTCAAGGAACAAGCAACAGTGCTGCCACTTGTTTGGCACATTTAAAGAAAGTTGATCTGAAACCCAACGAAAGCTAAATGGCATTTAAATAACAATCCAGAATGGAACTTAAGAGCCATTTAAATTTTCTGAAATTGAAATTGGCCCTAGCTCACACGTTCTCATTTTCAATCCCACACAAAATCGAATTTTGAAAAACTTTTCTTTTAATTAAAAGTACATAGATATCGTTTTGAGTAGTAACATAAAATATTTTCTTTTGGAAAAAAGTTTATTTATATATGTATTTTCGCTTTATGTAAAAAAAGCTTAAAAAAGTCGTTGTGGCTAAAAATGGGAGCTAAAATTTTTTCCTTACATATATATTAAGCTGCATCACTCCCCATATAAAAAAAATCGGTACTGGTTTTCCATTGGAATTATAAAATCTATTATATTTTAAGACGTCCACCAAAACATTTCGGAAAAATCTTAAGATTTAAGCGAGCTGGACCGATTTGAAAAAACCTCCAAAAATGGAGTTTTTTATGAATAAAAATAGTTTCTTAAAGATTTTTTTTTGAAAAAATCCCCTCAAATGACAAAACCGTTTAAGCTTAAAAAGTTTACATAAAAATATTAAATAAAAAATAAAAATTTTGAACGGAATCGTAAGATGAGATTTTTGATGCTGTTTTTTAACTTTTTTCAAAGATTGGTATAAGAAAAACTTGAATAACTGAACATAAACTCTTCTGATTTAGACTTGTGAGGTATCATTGGAAAAGTATTTTCTCACCCTTTTTATTTCTTTGCCAATAAGCTCATTCAAAGGATGAAAAGTAAAATGAACGAACAATCAATTTTATAATAATAAAGTGCAAGTTACCGTTGATTTTTGGCAATTTTTTTCACGCAGTCTCTTCCATTCAATTTTTTTTTTCGAAAATACTTTATATGGAAAAAATGCAAAACACCTTCAACAAAAAAAAAATTCTCAAAAATCAACGCGATTTTTGACTAACTCCGAACTTGCATTTTTTAACTAGAATTTAATGGCCTGCAAAACTGCATACTCAAAAAAGATCTATCTGATCTGACAAAAAAGTTGAAAATTTTGATGAAAATTTGCTGAATTTTCGCGAGTTTTGCACAAAGTTTAGGAATTATATTTTTAGGTTTTTTGTTGTTGAATGAACCATACCTTTATAAAAAAATTGGCGGAAAAATATTAGAATAAAAATTGTTGCATATATTGTGAAAAAATTTGCTGTGCCAATACTTTGTTCCGGCAGTGTATATAAGGGAGCAAAAATTTCCACAATCACTTTTCCATTAAAAATTCACAATAAAGCAGTTTTTCACTTAGCTACACTGGCCTTAAGGTCGCGTTTTTTTTTTTTAACCGAGCTGGCTGAACTCGAATAAATAGCCGAGTTTGTGTTGTTGCTTTGCATGTATTTCGTTATTTTAGCGAGTGTTCTTTTGTAGCTCGATTGTAAAAGAATGCACCTTATGTATGTATGTAGCTTATTAAAAATACATTTAAGGGAATTTAAAAAAAAATTGCATACCATGGACTGGCATGAAGACTTCCAGTGCCGAGGTAGTTATAGCGGCGATGAGTTATAAGAGTGCCAACTGCGCAGTTATGACTGCTTTTGATACATATCACGTGTAAACCATGCCATATCCCGCAATCTGATTGTCCATATTCTCTCTCTTTCTCTCTTCCCCAACACTCCATGCAGCACTCCATGTTTTACTTTTTCCATCGTTACGAGCTGCCTGTCATTATTCAACAAGCGCAAATACTTATCATAACAAACAATCAGAATGTGGCAGGGAATGGCCCCCAACAGAGGCAGCAGCAGCAGCTGCAGGGCCAGGGGCGGCCAGCTGCAATTATAATGGGTCGACTATTTCGTCGCCCGGCTCGTCAGCAACAGCAGCAACAACAAGAACAGCAGCTCATTGATGCTCTACGAAATCAGCGACAAATACCATTCGTTGGTGGCTTGCTGCAGCGACGCGTCGGAGCTGTGGACACTTTGCGGCGCACGCTTCTACAACGTGGCTGGATGGGAGCGCCACGTGTCCGCGTACAAATCGCCAATTTGCAACGCATCAATTTGCGTTCCATTCAAATAAATCCAGCCAATTTGGATGCAGCCGCCGCCTCAGCAGCAGGCGAAGCAGCAACGGGTGATGGTGCTGGAAGTGGAAGTGGCACCGGCGGTACAACGATAGATGGCAATATTACCATAACACAGGTGGCAGACGCAGATGGCTCAACAAATGCAATGGCAATGGCAATGGGAAGCAACACCAGTAGTGGCAGCGGCCAAACCATTGGCATAACAATCTCTTTTAATCCGCCAGCCACAGACGATGTAGACACGAGGTCGGCAACTGGCGCTGAAAATGTTGCACAAACCCCCCCATCAGTGGCAACTTCTTCGTTGAATGACGCGCGGACAACAGAAGCTATGCCAAATACTGCCGCAGAACTACAGCCGGTATCAACAACAATAACAGGTGAATACATTAGAACTTAATTTTTTAATATTTTTTTTCCATTTGTTTTTTTTTTTTTTTGCAACATCTATGAGGTGTTCGAAATACACACTGGTGAAAGAACTATGTAGCAAAAATATTTTGGTAATACAATTTTCCAGTTACAAAATCTTCGGTAACGTGCTGAATAGATCTGTAAGAGGCGAATAAGTGTTCCCAATTTTGTAACTCGCAGTGTTTAGGTTAGGGATCTAATCCCTATCCTTCGTATAGCCAATAAATGTTCTGTGTACAGGGCCACTCGTTTGTGGACGCTAAAATACCTTATTCGCTGTCCAAAAAAACTACATTAGTACAATAACCATATTTAGCTTAGTATATAGTATTTAATTTATTCAATTCACAATTGTTAGATTAAGGGATTACACCATCCGGACGGTCGGAAAATTTGGTAAAAAAAAATTTTGCTTCTGACACATACAGTGGCTCACAGCTTATTTCAATCAGCAGCTATCAAAACTTTTAGCCACCCATGAAAACTAAATTAAGAAAAATATCAAATTTATTTAAACGCTGGTTTTTTAGCCTAAGAAATAACATACCAAATCAATTTGACATCATTAGTAAAATAATAATATTTTAAAACAATTGAAATCTTAAAACGTTATCAAACACAATGCCACACAGTTTATTTCAGCCAAATAATTTCCAGCTGTGCAATTATCCTTTATCTTGTGATGCAACTGTTTGTTTTCTCTCTCTATGGTTTAGTCATTATATTTTTAATACGTTCAAATATTGTTTTGCTGAATTTGGTGAGAAAAGCGCGTAGAAAAATTTGTTTTGCTAACAATCAACGAGAAATTGTTCTCAGTTATTTTAACCCTTGTACACAAATTCAGACCCACCACCCATGTTTACAAATTGTGGATCGAAATGACCCAATAGAAAAATACATACAGTAATAAGCAAAAGAAACTTCATTTCATATTTATAACTGAAAAAATTCAGAGTTCATTGCTTTTCTTTCTGCCAATAGTTATTTTCGACCATTTTGGACCTAATTTTGCTGAACATTACGCACGCTATAATAAAATATGAACTACTCAAAGAGAACACACAAAGTGGCAATATCCCACAAATGTACTTGGCTTGTTTATTATTTTTTACTGCAATGAAATATCTTCGAACATGTAAATAGTACACGCAGGAAAGGTTATCAGTTCAAATGCTCGTGGTTCTAAATCACTCACAATTTGTTTGCATGTGTGCAAAATACTACATACATAATTATCTACAAAAAATGTTTAAATATTTTTTTTTGCTTGAAAGCCATTGTAGAAACTTAACAGAGGCATTAAAAAAGTTGTATCGCAGTGCGAAAGTTTTTAAGGTAAGTTCTGGATAGATTTCTTTAATAAGATTATAGTTTAAAAAACTAAAACCTCCCTATTATAATTGCCATTCGTACTGTCATCAGGTATGTAACTTGAGAATAGAAATCGCTGCATCTTTTAGGCGCATCAATATTACATAGTTACATCCCGAGCTAATAAAAGGAAGTTAAAAAAATTGGATCTTTTTGACCCAATTTGTGCAGAAAGGTTAAAAGTCGCGTATAAAACTTGGTGAAAGGGTTGGACTGGAGTGGTTTTACAGTGCGGATTTGTCAGCAGAAAATAGAACGCACGATAAGGCGAAATTTGATCAGGACTCTGTATTTCGAATAACGGATAAATTCTGCGATGAATCGAATTTTAACATTTTGGTCCTTATAAAGCCTTATGTGTTTGGGGTAGAACAAATACAAAAGGCTCATTCCACGGTGACGGGTGTGACATTTCAACTCACATTTTAAGGGTTAATTCTTAAACTGTAATACAAAATTCTTTAAAACGAGTATTTTGTAGTAGGTTTCCGAGATATACACAATGCCTGGAATAAAAATTCCTAAAACAATTTAATCCGAACGAGTTATCTGAATTTTAGTCACTGTGACGTGAATTTTAGTCACTGAAAAACCGTTTCAGATACTTTTTTTGCCCTGACAAGCGAAGTAATGATATCTTTTTAACCGTGACAGTATAGCTTAAGTTTTCCCATCGCTCGGGCAACATATCTTTATGATTAGCTTTATCATCGCTGATCACAAACAGATATAGTATATGACACATTTCAGATTAGCTGATAAGTAACGGTAGCAGTCCCTGGCCGAATTTATTGAAGTTTGTCAAACTTTAAATTGTGACGGGTGTGACATGTGACGGGCGTGACCAACACAATCGGTTGGTTCTTTTTTCGAAAATAAAAGCATATAAATACTTAAAAGCAATTCGCACATATTTCCCTGTGTCATAGCGTTACTTTCGTCAGCTTTTTTACACTGTCCAAGAAGTGTTTTCCTTCAAAAAAAATAACTATTTTGTGTATCTTGTGACGGCCGTGACATTAAAATATTATTTGCTTCAATATATAATAAAATATTTACTACTTGCCCGAAAAATTTGAAAATTACGCCGTTACAATGCTAACGAATTTGTCTCTCCACTGACGGTTTAAACAATGCAAAAAAGGTAATAGACTACGAAAATCAGTCTTGTAAATTTTGGGGAAAAAATTAACCTCTTATATGGGTTTGTAAATGGTACAACCTAAAGTAATAGAAAATATCTGATTTTGAGATAAATTTCAGAATTTTGGCTTTCAGTCTTGAAAGTTAGATTTATTTACTCTTACTTACTAGAAATAATACAGTCATATTCTTTAGTTTATTTTCGTTTCATTCGGTATCGATTAACGTGGAATGAGCTAAAAGTTGAAAACCAAAATTTTAGGTGGTATCGCTTTGGTTTGGGCCTGAATGTCCGCAGCGGTCCAGACCAGAAATATACAGACATGGCTGATTTGGAACTGCCAGTATGTTTGCAATCTCCGCACATAGGGGTATTGGTGGTATAAAACCGGTCGTAAGTCAGATGTATCAACTTTAATAAAAGAGTATTTAAACATATTATTTCTCAAGCTATGTAACCCATCTATCAAATAGCAGTCATAAAAGTCGCCACCGTTACCGGAACTTTGACATACGTCACATAGAACATAGCCTCTATCGGAAGATTTTTTTTTGGTTGTCTTCTTTCAATAGCTGCCTTTGTTTCCTTCGTTATTATGGTTTTTATGAACCAATCGAAGTTTCAACGTCCTTATTATCCAAAATTCGTTATCATCCAATAGATCCAACAGGTCCAATAGATCTGGAAGAAAAAAGAAACGGAAAAAATGTAGCGCCTTTCTACCACTCTAACTTCTAACTGCGGTAACTTCTGTAGTACTTTGAGTTATGGCACGGGAAACTGCTTAAAATAACCTTCAGAGTACATATGCGGAATTTTTTAAGCAAAAGAAAGAAAACGATTTTGTGTTGTAACCCCTTAAGGATGTGTATTTATTTTTTTCGAAACTCTATTTGTTTTCAGCTCCAAAATGTGAAAATCCGGAGGAAGAAAGTTCATGCAAAAATGAGGCAAACATTAATAACGACGCAGCAATGTCGAAAAATGATGAAAAAACCCCTTCGAGTTCCATAGAAAACCAATCAAACCAGGGTGTCAATAAAGAGCCTGTACTTAACGAAGAAAAGAAACCGAACACAGACAATTCATTGGGAACAGGAACATTCGAAAATGTGGTTGACTCCGAAACGACTCAACAACACTTAGAGGGCGAATATTTGCCAGCGAGAAACTTGAGTGCAAGCGTGGTGTGTGAAGAGGGAGAGGGGAACAGTTTAGCCGAACAGATCAACACGAACGTACCATCATTTGTAGAACTATCGCCAACTATCGTTGAGCGTGGGCAAGAGGTGGTGGTGGCAATATTAAACACGTCAGTAGTGTCGCAGCCTTTGCTTTTGCCAAACTCAACTACTGTGGCCGAAGCGACATCGTCGGCATCCATGCAGACAACTGCAGCGTCGCCAAATATGCTTGCCGCATCTCAACACACGCATCCAGCACGAACACGTCTAAGTCCAATATCAGCAGCAAGTGTTGTTTCACTTACATCCACATCACCAGTGCCATCTGCAGCCACGGACAATGTCGTCGACGTTACCGACGATCAGAACGACGTCAGAAGCCATTCAGAAAATACGAAGCCAGGCACTCGTCTGAATTCGACCGACAGTTCACAGGCAATGGCGGTACAGCTGGAGCACGATTCATTTTCAAACATTACGAGCAATTTTGATCCTCAAGAGACACCTATAACGAGTTGCTGCGAGTTTTCCATAGATCCAGAGTAAGGGGTGTCCCTATAAACTAAACGTGAATTACTTATGGCAAACTGGTGAAACTATGCTCACGAAAGTCTTAGCTATACAAAACAGATACGAAATGGAAGACATACAATTTTAGTTCATTTGTGTATGTATATATATAAGTGTGTATGAATTATACAATGCTTGTACTATTAGACATTTTTATTAGCGTTTAATTTGTATAAATATTTAAAAAAAAAACTAAGGAAAGAAAACAATTGCTTAAAATAATATTTTCCAATCCAGCACTCGTAACATCACGGTGGCGTTTTTATTCCCCCCGTTCTTTTATAGATTAATTCGGATTTACATTGTATGTATGAATATATGTGCGATATAAACAAGTCTCACAGAAGGTATATGGGTGGTCAGACGCGCCAAATTTTAAGAAATTTAAGAAATTAACGTGCTCAACTATTCTCGAAATTTTCGCCATTTGAAATCGGTTTCTTTTGGCATAGTGGAATGAAGAGAAAATTTTAATTCGCGCAAAGAGAAGTCGACTTTGTTTTGAATTTATTGCTAAATCAATACTTGCATACTATTTTGAGATATTTTTAGCTTATTAAAATTCTCATTTCATGTTGACTATTTGTCAAATTAATATTTATTGGTTCGATTTTTGATACGTTGATTACATGTAACAAAAATGTACATATGTATGTATGTATGTAGGCATGTATGTGGGAAGCTCTAAAACATATTCATATTTATAAAAAAAAGTATTAGGGCAATTCATCTAAACGCGTAAAAGCCGCCTCATATCCACGTAAACCTCGTAAAATTGTTTAATTTTGTACGGAAAACCGGTTTATTTACGAGGTTTACACAGTTACGAGGCAGTTACGCGTTTATATGAATGCCCTGAATGTAATTCAAATTCATTCAGTGTGCCTTACAACGTTTGAACGTTCCCGTGTCGCTACTCATATCAAAACCTATTCATTTAAATTCAATAAAATTCAAAGCCGATCGAATTCATTCAATTAGAATATTAGTTATCGTTTTGAATGGATTCATGCAGACGTCTCATGTTAGGCGAACCAAAACAAACACTTACGATTTGGATCGGTCGAAAAATGTGTGGTAACCGTTGCACATTGCCAGTTTGTATGCTTAAGTTTGCCGGAACAAGCTGGGAAAATGAACGTCGAAATCGGTTTGTCTCCCAACCAAATTTGACAAGCGATGACGGAAGCTCGTTTTGTATTCGAATATTAACCAAAGTTAGTTGCAATCTGAGCATGCGCATTGTCTTGGAATAGTTATTACTATACCTGTTAAATAATGATTGATAATCGTAATGATTACACTGGTCTACAAATTTCAACTTTTTTTCTGCGAATAAGACGGGACCTGGTGTTTCTGAACGGATTTTTCGTGCTGAACACGAATCCGGGGTCAAAAATGTCCCATCACGTCACGTTTTCGAGAAAAAAGGGGTTGAAACCCCTAAAAACAGCGTTTTTGGCCATTTTCGAAAAATTATAGAGCTGAACCCTGACGTGGTACTAATTTTGCATATATCAGAAATTAAAGGCTAAACCGTGCCCTTTCGAATGAGCCCTATGCCGAATTGATCGCGTGCACCCTTAAAGCAGGGGGTGTATTTGTGTTTAGGGGTGCAGGAAAAATTGATCACAGAAAGAATTTAATCTTAAACGATCATAGAAAATTAATAATGCCAAGGTTTTAACTATATTAAAAGTCGCTGATTACGAATCTGCAGTTAGATTTTAAAAATTTAAGATGACGGGTCGAATATGGTGGATATAAAAAATAAACTGAAATTCGCTAAATAAAAATTTTTAAGTCCGCCATATTGGATCCGCCATTTTGAATTTTTAAAATCTAACTTCAGATTCGTAATCAGCGACTTTTAATGTAGTTAAGACCTTAGCATCATTCATTTTATATGGTCGTTTAAGATGAAATTCTTTCTGCGATCAATTTTCCCTGGACTCCTAGACACAAATACACCCCCTGATCTAAGGGTGCATGCGATTAATTCGGCATAGGGCTCATTCGAAAGGGCACGATTTAGCCTTTAATTTCTGACATATACAAAGTTTGTAGCACGTCAGGGTTCAGCTCTACAATTTTTCAAAAATGGCCAAAAACGCTGTTTTTAGGGGTTTCCACCCCTTTTTTCTCGAAAACGTGACGTGATGGGAAGTTTTGGACCCCAGATTCGTGTTCAGCACGAAAAATCCGTTCGGAAACACCAGGTCCCGTCTTATTCGCAAAACCCTTGTAGACCAGTGTTATTAATTAAAAGTATGTTGTTTTTGAAAACCCATTTAATGATACTATTATTTGCACGTTTTTAATGATTAATAATTAATTCCTTAAAAGAAAAGTTAATTAATTAATTAATTTTAATTACTTGACTATTTTGTTATATATGATTATTTTAAATTATTTTTAATTTTTTAATTGTGTGATTAACATAACGATTTGAGTATTTTCAATTAGTTTTGATTTTTTTAATTACATGAGTAGGTAATATAATAATTTTTGATTATTTTGATTATTTTTTGTTTTCAATTTTATGATTTATTTCAACTTGTGAATAATACATTACAGCGCAGTTAATATATGCACATTAGGGTGGGTCGAAAACACAATATGTTTAATGCGAAAATTGTATAGGTCTTAAAAGGTGCAATTTTAATCCCTTATTCTAGAAAAGAAATCCTTGTTCTCTGCCACAATATCTTCAGTCTGCGAAATGAGCTTGAAAAATTTTAAATAAGAGTGGGAATACCATTTTTTTTTAATTTTTACAACGACTTTTGTAGATCAATCCGGAACTTATTTCTTCACATAAAATCATAAAAAAAATTGGGAAAATTAAAAGTAAGTAACATCAATATTTTAATTAATTAATCTTGTTTTTTGTTATTTTGCGAAGCTCGGCCAAACACTAACATATGTGTAAGCGCCAATCTATTGCTATTATTATTATTGTTATTATTATTTAATACTAACTTTTAAAAATTTGCCTGCCAAACACTGCTTCATCTATTTGGAAAAATAATATAATTAGAAATAATCAAACAATTCAAAATAATCAAATAAATAAAACAAATAATTTGATTAATTTTGATTATTTGATTATTTCTAATCACATATTTGATTATTTGTTTATTGGCAATTAATCACTATTATGTTTGATGATTTTTTATTTATAATTAATTATCAATTGCTGGGTTATGCAAGAAAATTAAAATAATCATTAAAATTAAAAACTGCAAAAACACTAATGATTACTAATCATAATGGAAATTTAACAGCTCTGATTTTTACCTTCATAAACTTTGTAGTGCAGTGCATAACGTCATACAATATTCTCGGTTTCCAACTGATAAAACCCGATCTATTTGCTTTTGTTAAAACCATTAGAGTGCTACAGTAAACAGTACATACAAAATACATTGTTTTTTTTTTCAAAATAAAATCTTTAATATTCGCTACGGTGCTGATTTAAATTTCGCTCGGGTGACTTGAACAGCTGCTTAATCGATCGGAATGAATTCCACCTCCGTCATAAAGACATTCTGACTCAGACTACTCCTCTCTTGCTCAAATATTCTTAGCAATTACATTTTCATGGTTGGATTTTCTTCCAGCAATTGATAATTATTTGCATCTCATTAATAAATTTGTGTGAATATTAGCGTAGTGTTTGTATGTAGTTGTGTACATCTGCAATTGGTATTACGAAAAATTTAAATACGCAGCAAACTTTTCGTTTGTAGAAGAATCTTCATTTGGCCCGCTGCACAGTGCGGCCAAAAGTCCAAGCTTTAAAGAAATAATTCGAAATTTCGTATTAGGGGGCTTTCAGGGTCGCTATGCGAATTCGCTGTCGGAATTGCAAAATTCAATATGGCGGATCCCGTATGGCGTCTGGTAAATTTCGAGCTTCTTTATTAGATTTCTTAGGGCGTTTTCTTCTCTCGAAAAAAATTTCACACCTTCCCGTATGGCAACATCCTCACCCCTATTGCGAGTGTCGACTGTAGTAGATAAATGACTATTGTTTAGATTACCGCTTTTCCATGATATGTATTCTAAACGTCGTTGTCTCGTTCAAACAGCTGAAGAAGGATGAGCGACTAAAAAACTATTCACAGTCGCTTATTGAAGGAGAAATCGACATTCACAATACCATGTAAAAGCGATAATCGAATAATAGTCGTTTATCTACTACTAGTCGACACTCACAATACGGGGGGCGGGGGGGGGGGGGGGGGGGTTTCTGAGTATGCAGTCGTATAGCCCACTCATTTCTAGTGCCAAAAAATGTAAGTTTGAGTTGCTAGAACTTACCGTTGATTTTTGGAAATTTTTTTCTTGACAGTGCCTGTCATTTTCTTCCGTACGAAGTATATTCGATTATAGGTTTGTTCCACAAGCTACTTCGAGTTACTTCGAGTTACACATACGCGTTCCACATGTAAGTTTAATAGTTTATTTGATATTCGCTGACAGTTTGAATTTTGCTCGAGTTTATCTACAAGCAGCTTGTGGAACAAACCTAATATGCAGAAAATGAGCAAAGGAGGAATAGTTATGGCTTTCGATTTTATAAAATAACTCCGATTGAAGATCAGACTTTATTGCTCCGCTGGGTTGTACATTCAAGTAGTAGATAATTTCAGGAGTTAAAAGCCCTTCCGAAAAGCCTTCCTGACAGTCATTAAAATAAATAATATAATAAATTTTTTGTTGGAACATTTTGGTACAACACTTTCATCAACTATTCACTTAACGACTACCATTTTAAAAAAAACCTAATCAAAGCGTTGTGTCCGTGACGAAGTGCTTGCAATTTTGCAATGATCCGGCGCTTCATAGCAAAGTTAATCGCCCAACGGTAATCCCGTTCGATATCCCAGTTGTCAACGAAATAAATTTGAATAACATCCTTCTCTTCATTATATATATATATAAATGTGGTATTCACAACGATGTCGTAAGGGTGGTATTGTTGTATGTCGTAAACTTTAAAAGCTCAAATAAATGTTTAGGGAAGTTGAAACCACAACCAACTTCTTTTAAACTCTGCGAAAATGCATAATATGACTTTGATGGTACTTTGCAAAGCCCCTTAATATATTTTTTTAGGCGTTAAAATTTTACGACATACAACAAT